CCTGTAAATAATCTGCAGTGTCTGACTCCGCCCCTGTAAATAATCTGTCTGACTCCGCCCCTGTAAATAATCTGTCTGACTCCGCCCCCTGTAAATAATCTGCAGTGTCTGACTCCGCCCCTGTAAATAATCTGTCTGACTCCGCCCCCTGTAAATAATCTGCAGTGTCTGACTCAGTCCCCTGTAAATAATCTGTCTGACTCCGCCCCTCTGTAAATAATCTGTCTGACTCCGCCCCTCTGTAAATAATCTGTCTGACTCCACCCCTGTAAATAATCTGTCTGACTCCGCCCCCTGTAAATAAACTGCAGTGTCTGACTCCGCCCCTCTGTAAATAATCTGCGCCTGACCCCGCCTCCTCAGTTTTTAAACCAGTCTGAATGAAGATATGAAAAGAAAGCCAGTAAAAGGTTACTGTGAGAATAATTATGTAAATATGGAGACATCTGAGCAGAGAACATGTTTTCTGAGCCGACAGAGTTCATCATCATCCTGAAACACTGGGAGCCAACACCACCTGAGGATGATGATGATGATGTTCTGCACAGGGACAAACACGGAGGTGAAGAACTGATGGAACATCTGAACTCATGTTTGCTCCAGAATCAGATTTCAAGTAAAAAGACAGAAAACAAGCAGCTGCTGAGTCATGTGCAGCTGCTGCTGAGAGCTGAGTGCAAACAGGATGAGGTCAACATAAACACAAGTCATGTTTATTACCCACACCCCAAACACAAATCTACAGAGCTCCGCTGATAAATTTACTAAAATTACTTTGTTCTTTTACAAACTTCAGCACTGAGTTGAAGTTTTTCAGAAACAGCGACATCTAGTGGCAAAAATGACAAACTGCAGCCAAATGATGTGAGCAAAGCTCTCAGAAACAAACAGGTTTTAGTTTTAGTTTGTCTCCTTTGTGGTGCTTAAAAAACATTTGTTTACAAAGAAAACCCAACATTTAATTGTCTTTTTGGATGTGATAATAAAACCATTTTACTGCAACAGTCTGGTTCACAGAAACATCTGTTTGTGTGAGAACCCACAGCCAATCAGATTCTCTGTGAAACCAGCCTCACAGAGCCCTTTCTGTGGAGACATAAGCCGTCACACAGGGTGAAAACAAAGTGTGAGGAGGCAAACAGAAACAGACAGCAACACGAGGAGGAGGAGGGGGAGGAGCAGGAGAGAGGAAGAGGAGCGGGGAAAGCACCAGAAGAGGCAGACGGAGCTCAGAAATGAGCAGCCAACAACCTCCCTCAAACATCGGAGGTTCTGCTGCTCACATCTGTACCGGACCAACAGAACTTTACTCTCTGCCTTAATGAGGAGACGAAGAGCAGCAGGGACAGATCAGAGACGGATGAGAGACGGATGAGAGACGGATGAGAGACGGATGAGAGACGGATGAGAGAAGGAGCTCGCTGATCGATGCTTCACCTCAGAGCTTTTCAAAGCCTCACAGCGAAGCAGGAAGGCAGCATCCACACAACGAGCAACATTAAAGCAGCTGCACAGCAGCAAGCAGGAGGATGCCGAGTCCTCTGGACCTCAGACCAGGCTGCACCAACAGGACCGGACGGAATGAGTGAATACCAGACTGAGACAAAGGACCAGATGGACCAAGACACCAGACAGAACTGGGCAGTTTCTGGTGTCCACAAGAAACTTTGATCCAACAGGAAACAAGGAAGAAAAGTTGAATTCAAGATCTTTGAACCAGAAGGACTTTATGTGTGTTCTGTTTCAGACAGGAGGACAGGACGGGTCTGGACAGGAGTGAGAGGACAGGTCTGGACAGGAGAACAGGACGGGTCTGGACAGGTGTGAGACAAACATCTGGATGAACTACAACCTTCTTTGTTTTTGAGCCGTTGTCTCTGAACTGAACTGAACTGAACTGAACTGAACAGTTTGTTTCCTGTCTCTCTGACGTTGTCCGGGTTGGACCTGATAAGAACCTGCAGAGACTGGGCAGCATGAGTTCTGAATAGTCTGAGTCCTGTAGTCCAAACATAAGTCCAGTCAGTCTGACATAAAGTTTCACTGAAGGAGACGAACACATCAAGTGTTTCTGCTAAAAACAAGAATCCATCCGGGGCGCTGTCTGTCCCAGACGTCTCCGTTTGTCCATGGTGTCTCCACCTGTCCATGGTGTCTCCATCTGTCCATGGTGTCTCCATCTGTCCATGGTGTCTCCATCTGTCCATGGTGTCTCCATCTGTCCCTGATGTCTCAGTCTGTCCCTGATGTCTCAGTCTGTCCCTGATGTCTCAGTCTGTGTCTTACATCAGGATGAGAAGAACAGCTGGAGGATGTGACAGAAAAGCTTGTGGTCCTCAGTAAGACAGATCCTGCTGCTGGCACCATGCTGGGTGGTCTCACTGGTTTCCTTCATGGGGTGGAGCCCACTGCATCACCGTGGTCTGTGGTGGTCCTGATGTTCTGCTTGAACCTGGGTCCAGCCCAGGCAAGCACCTGCCCGTCTCAGTGTCTGTGTACTTCAGACCTCCTCAGCTGTACAGATCTGGGTCTGGCTCAGGTCCCTGAGGTGCTGCCAGTCTTCATAGTCACTCTGGACCTGAACCACAACCGTATCGTGCAGCTGGAGGAGGAAAGCTTTGAGGGTCTTCCTCATTTGGAGATGTTGCGTTTGGCACATAACCAGGTGACCTCAATCCAGTCCGGAGCCTTCAGAAACTCCTCAGGTTCTCTGCTGCGACACCTGGACCTGTCGTCCAATCAGCTAATGGTTCTGGAGCAGCATTACTTCCAGGACCTGCCTGGACTGCAGGAACTGCTGCTGTTCAACAACCGTATTGTCCGTGTGGAGACCGGAGCTCTGAACCACCTAAAGAACATCCACAAGGTCTACCTCAGTCACAACCTTCTTACCACCTTCCCCTTCTTCAGCATCCAGAAGCACAGCCACCCCAACCTGACCATGCTGGACCTGTCCTCCAACCGGCTGCCCAAACTGCCCCTAAAGGACATCTCCAACTTGCCCCAGTCTGTCCAGGAGGGTCTGTACCTGCATAACAACTCCCTGCTGTGTGACTGTTCCATGTACTCCCTGTTCAGGTTCTGGGAACAGATGGACTTTGCTTCCATCAGGTTCTTCAGGCAGGAGCACGTCTGTCTGCTCTACGGGATCCCAAGAGGCGTTCGCTTCTTCCTCTACAACCGTTTCTTTGATGGATGCAGGCTGCTGGAGCTGAAGCAGCAGAGCAGGGATGTGTCAGTCCGGGCGGGGGCGCGCCTGCTGCTGCACTGCATCACCTCTCTGTCTGGAACCAGACCCGCCTTCTTCTGGTTGGCACCGAACTCAGAGTACGTGACGCCGCCCGGGAACAACGGCTCCTTAAACATGTTCCCCAACGGTAGCCTGGAGATAGTGGCAGCCCGTGAGGAGGACTCTGGAATCTACCTGTGCATGACTCAAGACCAGGACAGGAACGAGACCGGGGAGGTGAACGTGACCGTGCTGCGCCACGAGGATGAGGCTCATGAGCACTTCAACACGGGCTTCACCACCCTGCTGGGCTGTGTGGTCAGCCTGCTGCTGGTACTGATGTACCTGTACCTGACGCCCTGCCGCTGCCCCAAGCACCTCCCCCCGCCCACCGCCGCTCTGAGTCGAGGCAAGGAGGCGGGGCCAGGGAGCGCCCAGTCCTCTATCCTGACCCCGACCCCACCGACGACCACCGAGGGTCCGGGGCGAAAGGTCAGTAGCAACAAGCATGTGGTGTTTCTGGAGCCAATCAGAGAGCAGCAGAACGGCAGACTGAGGGTGGGGCCTGGGCTCCTGCTGGGGGCGGAGCCACAGCAGAGGGCCGGGGAGACGGACTCCTACGTGTCCGTCTTCTCTGACACACCCATCTTGTTGCCATAGTGACACTAAGACACATGGACCGGCACTAACCCCCCACCCCCACCCCACTGCGTGACAAATACAGACTTTAAAAAACAAACTTTTATAACATCCACACTGGCGAGGGTGGGCGCGCCCAACGCGAGTACCCAAAGCGTGACTTTTGCTGTCATGCTGTTGAAATGTCTCTTGTCGGGGAGGGGTCTGTGGGTCAGGGTCATCTGAGGAGGAAGGAGATGCATGAACTTTTATTCAAGATTTAAGTTTTTTTTTATTTCAAAGGTCCTCATGGCTCAGCAGCAGAAGCACAAATATTACTGTTAAGAAAGCTGATGATAAAGTTGAATAAAAATCCAAGTCTGAGTATGAAGGTAAATTAAATATCTGACAGTGATCATTATGCAGTGTGGCTCTAATTCCTCCCTTCACCATCTGTGTCGCAGTTTCCCGTCTCCAAAATGAGAGTACGCATGTGTCAGAGCTGGCGTGAGGGACCGCACATTTTCACGTCAAGTTTCGATTTTATAACTCACAACCTTTGCATGAAAAGTGGCGTACTTAAGTTTCTGGGCTCGTTTTGTGCGTACGCAAGCTTTATAAATCTGACCCCTGGTTCTTACTGTTGACTTTGCATCAACATTAAAAGCAACAAAGGCATCTGAAAAAAAAAAAGAAAATACTTATGGCTAGGCAAAGCAAAGCAAAGGTTAGTTCAGATCCAGAGGTGAAAAAGTGACTGAGTCACTCTGTTTATGTGAATTGATCTAGAAAAAAAAAGATGGATATGTTGATAAGCTGAATTTGCCTTGCAGCTACTAGTGCTGCATGACTGAGTCTTTTCAGAGAGACCCACACAAAGAGGTGCAGCCAAGAGGGGAAATAACAAGAGGTTAGTTAGTTAGCTGCGATCAAAAGGTCAAAGATGATAAAGCTTTTAACTGTGTGCATATTTTTGTGTGTGTGTGTGTGTGTGTGTGTGTGTGTGTGTGTGTGTGTGTGTGTGTGTGT